TCTCCAAAAAAACAAATTAATACATTAATATTTATTATTTTTATATTTTATACATAATTTTATATATCTCACATAAAAATAAAAAATAAAAATAAAAATAAAAAAATATCTTCAAATTATTTTACAAAACAAGCATACCATGACTCTTTTATATGGGATCTAGAATATAATCTAATGCAATGCAACATAACACTTCAGCTCAAAATATAATCATCAATTAAAATCCAACAATTTAAATATTCTCTGTTTACTATTTTGTGTTGGTTATTAATTTAAGCAATTATGCAAATTGAATGTGTATTTCTCGACACCAATTAACAGTGGTGAATAAAAAATAATATTATGGGCAATAATAGAATTATCTCTGTTTGCATATTCAAAAATGGACATATGAGCAAGTATCCAGGATGTTGTTGCAACTTTCAGTCAACACTATTTTCGAAAATCTGCAAATTACACTGGCAGTTATTGCCCTGATATATTGCCCCAAAGTTGACACACAATCAACTTTATCTCTTGTGTGTAGTGTTTGTATTTTGTGTGTTGTTTGTGTTTGTATCAAAAGAGAGATACACAACACTTCGAATCAGTATTCTCTCCACCAGTTTGTGTGTTGAGAGAGCTCATCTATGGAGGATCGAAGACGAGAAGAAGGTTACTTGGAGTTGAAGCCGAAGAAGATATTCATCTAGTAAACAATCTTATTCTTAGTTTGGTCATTGTCCTACTGGAGTTGTTGCGATGGAGTAACAGTCACTCCATGAGAGTTTGTATAAACTAAATAGAGCTTAGGTAGAAGATAGGTTAAGTAGTTCGGTTTGGTGTCTTATATGGTGTAAACCAAGTGTTTGGTTTAGTTAAGACTCCTGGATTGGAATCCCCCAATAGGTTGGAAAACCGAACTGGGTAAACAAATTTGGTGTGTTGTTTATCTTTCTACACTTATTTAGCCATCGATTTGTGCACAAACACACGCTGTTGTTATAACCACGAGACAATTGCGTTGTAAAGTTGTATTTACGTTGAACGTTTCACAGTTCCGCTGTGCAAGTTACTCGGAAACGTTGGACCTCTTATTCAATCATCTACCCGCGATTTCCAACAATCTGATTGAATTATCAATTAATTGGACATGGTTTTTTTCTTTTTTTTTTTCCTTTTTTTTTTTTTTTTTTTTGAGATTTTCTTCTTTTTTTTTTAACTAATTGATAAAGTTATTTGAGAAAGAAATAAAATTTGAGGGAAGTATCGACGCATGGCTAATACATCAAAGTTGTGACATATTTATAAATTGTTTTTGCGAAGAGGACATAATTCTTAAAATAGCAATACGTGCCCGCCTGAACGGATTTGAACCAGATTGGACTTCGTCTTGGGATTGAGCTTAAGCTTGAATTAGGTCGTGACCTTGGAAGTCGGCAAATATTTGGCTTGGTACAGCCGGTTTTGCTATATATATAGCCCATAAAAAATTAAGCTCAGGAGAAAAATGAAGTGCCCAAGTTACATTTCCAAAATGCTACTATTACAAGATGGCCTTCGTGTCTTCACTTTCCACTTATTTCACCACACCGAAGAACGGTGCTTTTCTTTCAAAGCATCTCAATTCTTTTAAGCTTGATTTTGCCTTTAGTTTTGTTCGTCAGAGCTCTGTCTTATTTGAATGCTACCTTAGCCAGAGATGTAAATTCCTTTACCTTTGAGTACGGAACGGTGACAAGGATAGCGCTATCACTATCAAGATGTATTTTTTCTTATGAGTAGAATAATTTTCCAACTTGGTTTTTTTTTTTTTTCTATTGTTTAATAAACATAACTTATTTGTTAGAAAAATTATGATATAGTCAGAATATTTTTAAAAAATAAAAAATAAAAATAAAATTATACAATACACCTTAAAAGTAATAAAATTACACAAAATCCACAACACCAAAAATAGAGTAAAGCTAGAGTGCTACTTTATATATAGAGTAACACTGTAGCAAACTCCAATGGTTGGGTTGGAGCCCAACCTCCAAATCATTACAACCCACTGCATAAACCAGTTGGTTGAAGATGTTCTTATCTAGTATGTTTTAGGCCTATAGCTTTATCTTTGTTGCATTTTAATATTTCAGGTTTTTATATATTAATTTCAGTCATTTATCTTTAAATTGTACCAGTTATGTTCATTTTTTTTTAAGATTTCGTAATTATCAACACAGATTACTCAAGAATCTCTCCAATACGTCGTTGGTCTTAGGGCAGCGCCTTCACTATCATTGGCGGTTTGAAGCCTTTCGAGGCTAAAGGCCGCACAGATTTGCTAGCCTTCTGAGTAAGGGCCGCACACACACCATATTCGATAATTCAAGGCCCTCCAAAGCTAAGGATTACACGAATTTGTTGGCCTTATGATTAAGGGCCATACACACCGTCCTTTGCAGTTCGAGGCCTCAAAGGCTAAGGATTACGAACATTGACCATCAGTAAGGCTTTTTAGAGTACTTGTGGGCAGTGACGGAACTAGCTTTCGAAATTCGGAGGGACGAAATTATTATGCTACTTTTTTATTATTATTATTGATTTTAGTTTTAATATATTTTCAACAGTTAATTTCCAATATTTTATTTGAACCAGTAGTTTAGCTTATCTATGTGTAAAAAAAGTATAAGAACCTACTCGTCATTTCACTGTCATTAATTCGTGCTAACTTTATTTTGTTTAATTTCTTTTGACACTAGAGTGAAATTATGAAAAAAAACAAAAAAATGGAAAGAAGAAAAAAAAGAATAAAAAAAAAAAAAACATATATGGTAAAATTCTATTTTTCATATAAAATATTTTTAATTAAAATTTTAAAATAATATTATAAATTAAAATAATGAATTTAGGGATAAAATTTAAAAAAAAAAAAAAAAAAAAACTAATTTTTACTTTAAAAAAAAAAAAAAAATGAATTGGGGGGCAAGTGCCCTAGAGCCTTACTGGGTCCGTCCGTGCTTGCTGGAAACCTAAGCCAATTTCCTTTCTTGCGTTGGCGGCAATCGTTTGATCAAAAGGGCGCAATATTTGAAATTCCATTTTGGAGTTCATATTCGGACAGGCCGTTGATCCCATATTGAAGGATAGTTGGCCTCTCGATCAATTCTAACTCAGGCCTTCACCCGGTGAAGAAGGTATTTCCATTAGACGTTCGGCAAAGTTCTTTGGACTATTTGTCGTGACCAGGTCAGCTCGGTCCTCCAGCCGACAATCGATTTGATTCGAGGGTACGCCCTCGAATTTTGGGAGGACTTGAAACGTCGCAAACCATGGTTTTAATATCCGTCTATTTACAAAGTTTATATTTTTATTTTTTTTTGCGTATTAATCTTTGAGTATTAATTATTATAACAAAATATGGTAAAAATTAACAAAAAATTGACAAAAATAGTCTTGTAATACAAATATATTGATATTTGTATAATTTTTTATACAAATATAAAAATATTTTTAATGTTAAGTACAATAAGGCAAAAAAATAAATATAAATTTATTAAATAGACAGAGAGAATAATATGTCTCTTAACAAACTATCTATTTTTTCATTTTTGTTCGTCTTATAATAAAATATTCATTTACACAATTGTCATTACCTTTATATCACACTCGTTTTAATTATTTCTATTTTATTCCTACAATAATTCAATATAATACTAATATTTTTAAAACTTCGTTCAAAAAATAAACAAATACATAAATATGGGACAGGGGGAGTATAATAAATAATATTAATTTTAATTTAAAATCTTCATGGGCTGTTATTTGTTCACCTAAATGAGAAAAGAAATAAAACCATGCATCTATCTCAGTTGCAAATTAGATATATTATATATATATATATATATTTTCAGATATCCGACAAAATATATGCCCAACAATTTTCAGAACCCCTAGCCATAAAAATAAAGGGTATTAGGTCCGGCCGAGCTTTATCCACTGTGCACTTTCGGTAGCTGCTGCGGGTTCTCACATCATAAAAAAAAATAAAAAAAAAAACTACTGATAACTAATTCAATTAACGGCTTGTATTAAAGTGTTTACGTAAAATAACAAACGAAGATATTTACATTATATTTTAAAAAATATTCAACTAAAATATTTAAAATTTAGAATTTTTGATAATATTTATTATTGGTTATAGAAAATTGTGAAAAATATTACTTTCTCCCACTCATATACTAGACACAGTATTTTAGGATGAGTGTAATTAGTAGATAATTAAGAATGTATTAGTGAAAATAATTATCCTATAATATAATCATTTTCTAAAAAACGAAAGTGACATAGAATATGGGACGGACAGAAACGGGTGGACATGGTATGTGGGAATGAAGGAATATTAATATATCTATTTTGCTATTTTTAAATATTTTTGTAAAAAAAATAATATATTTTTACTGAAAAAAGATAAAAAAAAAAAATTATTAAAAATAATAGTAGTATATAATATAAAAGAACAAATTTAATATATTCATTTTAATTAGAAAAAATTGGTTTTAAATCCCCAGGCACATAATAAGTTGAAATTCAGCTCTCTTTTTTTTTATTTGATTTGAATAAACTCTCTATCAATTATTAATTAATTTATTATTACTATTTTCAATAAATTTATATAAAAATAAATTAATAATATTTATATATTTCATTAATTTAATAAATTAATATAATACAAAGAAAATAAAAAATATATATAAAATAATTAATAATTTCAATTACTTTAAATTTAAAAAATAAAATCATAATTACCAAAAGTATAAATGTGTTAAAATAATAAATAAAAATATGTGCAAAGAATATAATTAATATTTATGAATAAATGAGATAAATATAATTAAGGTGTCACCTCAGACATTGCTTGATATTGTGTATCAAATATATAGTTCGTCCACTGTGACTTGTTTTGCCGGCCTATTTTGAAGCCTATTAAGTACGGCCGGATATTTATCCAGAAAACTATCGAATAATAGCAGTTGTGGTTTCGACTTAAAAAAAAAAAAAAAAAAAAAAAAAAAAGAGTTTCGTCACAACGAATCTCACTCAATGTTGGATCACACTAGCTTAGAACCAGGCTGCGTCTCTGCTTCATATTCATCATCAGCATCATGATCATCGTCTTCATCATCCTCTTCATTATCCTCACCATCATACAAATTGCCCACCGAACTCATTGTCTCTTCTTTAACACCATCCATGTCAAAGAAATCCGATCCAAACTTCATTTCACGGTGTTTGATCAAAAGCCAGCGCAGCAGCCGGTCTTCTTTGTTCAGGTAATGGAGCTCGCTGTTGAAGCTGGGTGGGGTCATCATTGTCAGCTGCATCAGTTGACCCTGCAAGAAATTATCATAAAGATCATATAAACTATGATATACACATAAATTAGAGGAATCTTTGCTTTGATTACATGAAGTCTCAAGAACACGAAAGGCCATAATCTATTTCATGAAAAGCATCCGCAAATGAATATAAATGTTGTAACAAATTTATGCCTGAAAATGACATACCTACAACAAAGAACAACAGAATAAGTATGTGTAATCTGGGAGACCCAACTAGAGTTACTGACTAATGCGATTTCTATGTGCCTTAGACAATTTAGCTTAATCTCAATTCCATGACAAGGAACAGGAAGGAAAACCACCTGAAAAAGAAACACACACTAAAACCATATGGCTGATTCAAGTAAACCCATAATGATTACCTTCACAATGCATTAAGTCAAAGAGAAAGCTATATGATTTAATTTCCCATTTGATTGTAGGTTCTTATTAAGTTGCTTCCGCCTCGAGTTGAATACAGTTTAGGAATATAATAGTATTCTAATCTACCCAATATAGTGCATCATTACAGGTATTATGCATTGTTATAGGTTCTTCCCGAAAGTGTTGCCATGTCCATTGCTATTGTAGATCTCATTATAGGGATATGTGAACAAGAGAAGAAGTTACAAGATGTCAGCATAAAAGTGACAATGATAGGATATACTTAAGATCAATGTTTGGATAAATCGAAGTGATTATGATTAAGAAGGATGTTACTGGAAACCAAGATTTCCCTTTAGTGTATGCTGTGGAATAGTCACCAAAAGTTTAGAATTAATGCTTTAATTTGGTTAACTCTAGTTGGCAGAATTAACGCCAAATGATGATGTTCTCCAATGCCATCTAGGCATTCCATCTATTAATTGTTGTGTGCTATGACAGGGCTCCATTCTTAACGTCATTCAACTAAATTGAACAAGCGTGTACACCATAAGAACACTTGATCTGTGAATGGAAAGAATTAACAACAAACTTATTTAGATTGCCATGTATGTTTAGGACTTTTTAGCACTTTATATATGTTAAATTTCTAAAGTTATGACTCAAGAGTGATGTTTTCTGAAAAAACAATATAAATTAAACGTGAGAGATTCTAATATTATTCAATTAAAAATCTAAAATTTGAGTTTCCAACAACAATACAAGATCAAGAAATTGTTGTTTTCTTACAAAAAAACAGAAAAAAGACAAACCCTAACTGCATCAATCACATTACAGTAAAACCAAGAATCACAAATCAAACAAATGCTGCTGAAGTATCTAGAAATGATTTCTCAGATAATATGAAATCATCTAAATGATAGTTTGTGATAAATAAAAACAACCAACATAGTGTCAACTAGCACAGCGTATACAAGACCTAGTAGGCAGTGAGGTCTGTTCAAGAGTAAGGTCAGATTCATTTAAAAAGATCACATGGCAATGTGATGGATGCCTATATTCTAAATGTTAGGTATATCATTTTTATTAAGAATTTTCATATCGGATTCAGAATAGGAAACCTCTGTGACCAAATGGAAGAAAATAGTAGAAATTGGGTGCTATGCATTATTCATATGGAACACACCTCCTCTTTTTAAAACTAATTGCTTGTTGCATGCAAATCATATTTACTATCAATGAAACAACAATAGCTTCGCACAAGATAATACAACTTTAAATAAATTAATTCAATAGAAAAACATATCCCATAGCATCCAAGAAAGTGAACATGTACTTACCTGATAGTATCTTCCATCCAATTTCTTTATACCATATCCCAATTGAACATTTCCAAAGGACTTAATATCAGTCAATACTCCATTTCTTCGGTACACATGCTTTCCTATCCTTTGTACCAAATCCATAAGGAGCTCTGATTTTACATTCGGTTTCAACAGAAGCATGCAATCATAAAGAGGCATCTTTCCTTCCAAGTGACTCAAGATTACTAATCTGTAAAAAAGTAAATTTGTGCGGTACAAATGAGTAATTTTCCTATCAGTAGAGACGCTTGGAAAACAAATGGAGCACCAATTGAACAGCTCCCCAGTCATGTAACATGAAAGTGACGAAAACATCATATATCAAACATCAGAAAATAAACATCGACGCAAAACTAATCCCTGATGCAATACAGTATCATATTTGCTGCAAATCCCCGATAATGAAAACCCCCACAACTCACTAAACCAGATAAATTAAAACGCTCAGCAACTATCTGAACCAAGTCCACCAAAATCAAGTTTACATAAATCAAAATCAACCGCACAATAAGGGGAGCCTAAAATGAATAGTTCGAGCTTAATACACTTCCAAAACCAATTACTCCAACGCCTATACAAAAGCACTAATGACTTACCAAAGGTGTAACTAAATTACAGCAGGATGAGATGCAAGGAGCCGAGGACGAGTTGGCAATGACAGAGGTCTAACTTCTTACCAGAGACAAGAGTTTAACTATTCGAAATGCCGTTAGCAACTCAATCTTACTATAATATTATATACATGTACACAATTGTACGTCTACTAAAATTAACAAATAAAACATTAAAACAAAGATCTTACTAAAATATTAAGCACAACAAAATATACCAAACTATAAACAACTCAAACTTACTACAATGTAAGCACAACTTGTAGATGCATCCTAAAGAAACAGAAGCATTCTAAACTAAAGCAGTCAACATAATATTATTGTTTTCCAGTGAAATGGAGCCTTGTTTTACTTAGATAGTACACCAAGGACCAATATATTTCCTTGAATCCAAAATGCAACACAGAGCACTGCAAAAAGGACAATCTTTCATCACCCTAAATAATTTATTGAAACTTATGCCCAGTACCCTGAAAATGCAAGTAACATAAACACTCTCTAATTGTTCAGATGTATAAAACAAATAAATAAATAAACAAATCAAATCAAATTAACCAACACAAACACCAATTAAGCAAGCACACACATTCCACCTGCAAACATCCCAGCACCGACGGTGACCGAAACAGTTTTTCGGCGTCTCTGTTGGAAACCCTAACGGGGAACGACTATTCAATCAACTAAAAGACGAAGGAGTAAAGACAAATCTAATAAGAAAATATGCGTCTTTTCAGAAGTCATATAAAATCTTAGCAACAATCAGCTAATATACCTTTTATCTCCCCGAAACCGGCGAGCGGTTTGGTTTCGAGTATCGAAGTGTTCGCAAGGGCTAGGAACTTTCCAGCCGGTTACGACCGTTAAAATGCGTAACGCCCTTCCAGAAGAAAAGTGTGGAACAAGAGCAGAGCTGCTCCAATCCGCCTCCACGAAGCCGGCGAGCAGTGTCAGTTTCGAGGATCAAAGAGGTCGCGAGGACGAAGAACTTAGCCGTGAAGAAGATTGAATCGCGAGTGAGGTTAGGGCGGAGAGCGGAAGAAATGAGATGCTGGAAATAGGCGATTGATGTAGCTAGGAACTAAATTGCAAAATAGATTATTTTACATTTTTTAAAATTAAATTGGCAAAATAATACTCAATTCGTTTCAAACGCTGCAATATATATATATATATATATTTTTGTCTCAAAGTTACGTCAATGTTTTTAAATTTAAAAATAATTAATATATATAAATATATATTTCACTTTATTCTATCGTATTACTCAAATAAAATAAATAAATATTTATTTCTCTTTAGTCATATTGTTTAATTTTTAAATTATTTTAAATTATCTCCAGAATTTGCTTAAAGTCTTTCGTGATCATATAATTTATTTCTAATTTTTAAAATATTGGACACTTGTCCCCATCTTATATCTAAAAACTTCCACTCACGACGGTCAAACTTGCATAAGTCATTATGCCCTTATATGTATTTTTTACTTATGGAAAATAAATGTAAGTAAAATGAGAAAAATTCATTTCTATTGCTACCCAAAAATGTCCAAGTAAAAAAAATAAAAATAGGGACATGATTGTCCACTTATGTTTAAATTTAACTGTGTTAGTGAAATTTAAAAGGAACAGTATGTAGGTTATATAGAATTTTAGAACTTTGAAAATTTTCAACAAATTTTAGAAATGAAAGAGAAATTTTATATTATTTTGCCAAGTAACTTTATTAATGTTAACTGTCACCCCATCATTAGCGTAATTAGAAGCAACAACATCGACAAATTGAAAAAATATTATTGAGCTTCTTCTCCAACGAAAGGGTTGCATACATCATAGCACACAAAGTGGTTGGGAAATATAAATGACTCTATTGACATATAAATCCTACATGTTGATAGAAGATATCGAATGGCAACAATGGAGGAATATTTCTTGAAGTAATAGAAATATGTCTAGGGAGAGGAAGAGAGAAAGGAGACCATCGGGAAGGCTTCACATCGGCGATAGTGGGAACGGCGGACAAGCACGTCGCCGGCGAACAGGGGAGAAATATTTTCTGAATTAACAAAAATCTGTCTAAGGAGAGAGGGAGAAAGAGAGAAAAAACTTTCAAAAAGGCTTCGCCTGCACTAAATTGTTACGATTGTAAATCAATTTTTTTTTTTTTTTATCGATTTAAAAGCCGCTGGGACAATAATGTTCGCCAAAGGCCTCTACAAACGAGCCACTGTCAGTGCTCAGCTTTATTTTAGGGCTTCGAGGTCCAGTCTCGTCTAGCCTACGTGTCCAAATAACAAAAGATTTAGGCGGCGGTGGAGAGAGCGGCGGAGTAGCCGGCAGGATCGAAGGCTAGATCGGTAACACGGGAGGAGATGATTGACCCCGATATGAACATCGATGGCAAGTCGAAAATAAGGCATGGAGACAATAGCCGATACGGAGTTCACTTTTCGATGGCTATTAGAAAAAGACGTCTAAAATTAAATGAATGGCCTCTAAAAAAGGTCATTGTTGTTGGGAACGGATTATCGGTCCAACTTTTTGTTCAGTCTAATTAATTTAACAAATAGTAACATAACATGACATTTGTATGTATTATCTATAATATTTTTTCTTTTATCTTAAATTACAATCATAATTTACATCCAAATTTAGATTGGGATCTATTCCATCCCGTCGCGTGAATGCACACCTAAATTTACCCCAAATTTTCCCTCTCTCTCTAGCCGCTTGCCACCGACGCTACAACCACCGCCACCGTCGTCAACGCGCTTCAATAGTATTTCCTCTCTCTCTGTAAAATTCCCCACAACCAAGATTTTTGTTACATGTTTACATGTTTGTTACATAAGAGACAATTGGTTGTTGATGAAATAATTATTGATGTTTGTTTCTTTATTAGAAATTTTTTTCTGAAAATTTAAAGGGTCATCGTTATGAATGGTGCAAATTATTTTTTGTCTAAAGTGCTTTTGCTAGTACCACTATTATTGTTTGTTGTTTATTTTACTTTGACACTAATAGATAAATGTCAATGTGGTGTCATATTCTGGACATGATTTTATTTGTAGTGGCTAAATACCTCTTTATGCCAAAGTTTCCACCATGGCTCAATATTTTTCAATAGGTGTATAAGATTTGATTTCACAGCTGAGATTAAATGAATGCAGCAATTCATTGATTAACAATGCATGAGTACAATTACTGATGTCTTGTTTCTGTGCTTTCATTCATGTAATTTATTATCAATACTCCAAATCTATACAAACTAATACTTGTGATTTTTTAAGTTTAAAAAAATATAATAAATAACATACAGTAACAATACCGTCAATTTTTTTATCGGAAATATACAAAATATATATTAATATCGAAGTAAAAATATTACATTACGCCGGACACACCCCAAAAAATTAAAAAAAAAAAAAAAAGTGAAAAATGTCGCACCCTTAACTCAGGTTTATCCAAAACAAGAGATATATTAATATCGAAGTAAAAATATTACATTTACACTTGACATACCCGAAAAAAAAAAAAAAAAAAAAAAAAAAAAAAAAAAAAAAAAAGTTGAAATTGTCGAACCCTTAACTCAAAGGTTCATCCAAAAGAAGAGTGGAATCCTACAATACACAGTGGAAAATAAAGGTTTGCAAGCTAATATATTAATTAATGAAAAACATATTAACAAATTAAATAAGCTGGTCCAAGCATACTCCATAGCCACGATGGAATGCCTATTCAACAGCCTCTGATCCGATGAAAAAAAATTTGGAGCATCTTCAATTCGAGCTCAACTAGTCCCAAACCCCGGAAAAAACTTCGAGAAGCAGCAATGACTGAACCTAAATTTATGTATATATATATTAAAAATATAAAAGTTAAGATGAAAACTAGTAAAATAATTTATTTTAACGTAAACTCATACTAACTGTACTATCTATCTAACATTACAAATACATCTCATAAAAAAAAAAATTGTGAACCTAACAGCTCCTTAAAGTATTTTTTGTACCAATTTCTATATTACACTTATGTTGTTGGAAATTACAGTAACATGCTAAACACAGTATCTGAAAATTCTTATAGGTAATCAATGAAATATTTTGCTCCGATTGTGTAAATATTTATTATACTTTGTTCACTACATTTTTCAACTAAATTATAGATTAATCGACAAAAAATCAGTCTCGTTGATTGTATTTTGTTGTTTATTTGTTTTATTAATTAATTTATACTTTTTTGTCAGAGTTATTTATTGACATCTTTTTTTTAATTCTTTATTTTGGATTATTCTTTGACTTCAAAATTAATTGTATGCAATGACTATGCTCTGTATTTCTCATGTAGCATGAACAATCGGTTAAACTGTTTTGACTTTCTTAACATGTTGCATTATTTTGGATGAATCTTAGTTTGATTTGGTTTCAGATTGTTGTCTTCTTTGTATTCCACTTTGTTGCAATAATATTATATATATTGTCTTTGATACGGGTCCTTTTTTTAATTTATTTTGTATTTTAGTGTTAACTGCAAAGCCCATATTGTGTGCATATTCATAATAGAAATTGTATGCATTTTATGATTTTGTAAATTTCATTGTATGTCAATCTATGGAACCTGAATATATTATATGCTCAAAATTGTCAACCAATATGTTGTTTGTTTTATTCTAAAATGCTTTTCCACGAATAGGAAAATGTTGAACTCTATATTTAAGATCATCAATGTCGTGTTATATAACATAATATGAAATATTTTCCTATGCACACATAAATGCTAAATTCAATTGAACAAGATGCTAATTTATTTTAATTAATAGTATTTTGGATATTTTAATATAAAAATGATCACTGATACATATTATCCAGATTCTTAACATATGAAAACGAGAATCAATAGTTTTGCTACGCTTCTAATCTTGAAAAAAATATGAAAGCAATTAGGTTAACATAATTTCATAAATTATTATCCAAATTTGGCTAAAGAAAAAATAATCCAATAAATCGAATCCAGTAAATGAAATGAGGTATTTCGCGATGTCAGCTTCATTGTCCAGATTTTACTTATGTGATTGGGCAATTTCGATTGCATCATCCGGCATTGGCGGAGGAGATAAAATATCTTAAATTCCAATTTCTTCGGTGTCTTCATTGTTTCTCGATGAATTGATTAAGGTTGTAATATGGTGGATATTTTTTGTTAGTCTCCGTTAATCTTGTCCATAAATTTTGTTGGAGAATTCTAAAGTATATTTTTGTGTTTGAAGGTGCGAAAATTACAGATAGGAAGGAAATAATAGGGGTTATATAAATTAGTAGTATGTAAATTACTCTTATACTCTTAAATTAACACAAAATTTTAGATTATTTTTGTAATCAAATGGCTAACAATCAATCAACATGGTGTTGTCTACAAGCATCAAATACTACATCATTATTAAAATACAATATTTATTAAATTTTGTGCAAAACAAATATATATTTATAAAATGAACATATTAAATATTATTAAAAAAAAATTACATTCAAAATATCATATCAATTATTATTTATATTGTTTAACTTAGTATCAAATGACCTAAATGAGAAGGACTTGAAGCCTGTTGCAATCGGATTCAAGTGTGCAATTACCAAAAATCACAAGAGAATTTGGAATCTCGCATAATTTGATTTCAACAATACCATACTCCCTATGTCCATTAACATATTATACATATTTTTATTTTAAGTTATCCAATTATAAAGTAGTCATTTAAAAAATATTCAATTTTTTTCTACGAATACCATAATTACTTTTACATCAAAAAAACAATAACAAAATTGTCTTTATACTCCATTTGATCTATTCAAAATCTTCTTATTTTTCTATTTTAGTGTGTTAACTCAAACATTCTCTTTTTTTCTTTTTTTTAGTAAAGTTATATCCTATATAAATACACAAAATTCACACTTTATCTTACATTATTACTTTTACACTAAAAAGTAAGGCAAAATTATCTTTACATACATAATTTATACTACACTTCAATAAAATACTAATATACTTAAATTTGCATGTCAAAAGTAAATAAAAATATTATTAATGGATGGAGAAAGTACTATTTTTA